AAATCCCATGATAATCCATCAGGCAGAATTAGGAGGTAGGATCTTTCATGCTCTTTGAGCAGATGAGGAAACTGAGGCACGGAGAGGTGAATTAACCTGCTCAAGGTCACACGAAGCAGTGAGAGAGCAGGGACTTGAACCCAGGCTGTGGGTGCCAAAGCCCTTCATTGTGTAATAGCCACACTCTACCCACGTGGGAAGGTCTAATTATATGTCATTGATGGACCCCAAGACTGCTTTACAGCAGTGGTTTTCAGTCAGGGACTATATTTTGCCCCTAGGGGATATTTGGCAATGTCTGGAGATATTTTTGATTGTCACAACTAAAGAGGAGGCTGCTACTGGCATCTTGTCGGGAGAGACCAGGGATGCTATTAAACATCCTACAATGCACAGGACAGCTCTCCACAGCAGAGCTGTCCCCAGGTTTCAGCAGTATAAACACTAACCTTAAGGTTGAGAAACATGATTTACAGGTTTAGCATGTGTTTTATGCCAGTTTTTTCTTTTTATAGATGCAAGTAATTAGAAGTCTTGGGAATGGAAGTTTTGTTACAGCAATGTCACTCAATTCTTCCAAATTAACTGTTAAAAAGTATACTGCGATCATTCTTCTGAATGATTTATCAGCTGACAATTCCATTAGGTTCTCCTTCAATTTTGTTTAAGCAAACCTTTGAATCACTCACTTCCTCAATTTTCTGGAAGCATACCATAAAGATTTCACCAAGGTTTCTAATATGACTATTAATTACACCCTGGACACTTTCTCTGTGGCATTCTGGTTTAAGCCAAGATCCTCAGAATGGGTGAGGTCAGTTAAGACATTACTAATTTAAACATATCTTCCAGTGTTATATTTTTTATAAAGTGCTTTCATCCTCTAACAAGTTTTAACTTTTCATCAAAACTCTGCAGCTGCAGATTTGACTTGTTTAATTTATGGAAATGTTTGCCATGTAACATAATTGGAAATGCCTGTCTGTTACTGTCCAGTAAAGCAAGCAGATCAGACATGTTTTTGTCAGAAAGAATCCAATTTTATTTTCCAGTTCAAATAAGCATGTTAGAATATATTCCAGTGTCATCCATCTTATTTTTTTATTCTCAGTTCTAAGAAAGGTAGACGCGGGTACATAGATTGGTATGTAGGTAGAACAGATACATGGTAGCCAGATAGATAGATAGATAGATAGATAGATAGACAGATGATAGAAAATGGCACAGATTAAATGTGTGTTGCTACTCTCAGTACTTACTTTGATGCCCCTTTGCCCTGATATCAGGTGGGCATCCCTGGACAATGGTACATTCTCTGAAGGAAGTAAGATTGTTAAAGAAAAAATGCCTTAGCTCCTGTTGCCCCACTGTACAATCCAGGACAGAATTCTCTTTCTCTAATGCTTTGTTATGCCTTTTATATATATATAGAGAGAGAGAGAGAGAGAGGAGAGAGAGAGAGTCAGAGGGAAGGCCTGAGTAAGACTTTATTTTGTAAGGAGGGAGAAGAGTAAGGAGACTGACGATGCTTCACCTCCTGGGCTGGGAGTGGGGGTGGGAGGGGTATGTGTACCTCAGTTTGAAGACTTCCAGTTAAAACTCCCTTGGCTTTTGCAGGGATTGAAGTCCTGCCTCTGCCCTTTTTTCTTTCTTTCTTTCTTTCTTTTTTTTAAATTAAACATCGTATCTGGGAAATCCTCCCTATCATTCTCTGGAAAGCCTGCCTCACATCCTGTTGTATGAACGTCCTGTGATGTAGCTGACCCGTTCCCCAATCAGTGGATACTGGTTTTCAGTCTGTTTGGCGATTACAAATAAGGCTGCGTCAACTAGTGGTGGATACAGTTGTACCTCGTTGGCACACGTTGGGGACAGTAGCTGGAGGGCGAATCCTGCCCGTGGGATTGCTGGGTCAGAGGATGGGCATTTACAGTTGGACCCGAACCACCGCCCACAGAGGCTGTGTCTATTGACCCTCCCGCTGCAGTGGACGCGATTAGATTACTGCTGCCCCTCACTCTGCCCAGCACCGTGTGCTTGCAAACGTTTTCATCTTGGCTGATTGGAGGGGTGAAAAAATTCTATCTCGCTGTGGTTTTATTTTGCATTTCTCTGATTGTGAGTCAGGTCATCGTCTTTTCATATGTTTGCTTCCCTCTGTAATTCCTCTTCTGGGAAATGTCTGGGAAAAATGAGCCTTTTGCCCATTTTTCTATTGGATTAGTCTTTTTCTTGAATTGTATTAACACTTTATTTACTAAAGAAATGGGCTCTTTTTCTGTCAAAAGTTCTGTTGGATACATTTCCCAGCTTATCACCTGCTTTCTGACTTTAGCTATGCATTCTTACATGTGTTGTGCAGAAATCCCTAATTTTTACGTAGTTAAATTTATCAATCTATTTATGATTTTTGAATTTTATGTCACACTTAGAAAAGCTCCCTCTGAATTTATTCTTTTTAATTCTACTATGCCTTTTTCCCTCTCTTCCTTTTTTTGGTTTGTTTTCTCATTATTTTAAGATCCTTGATTCATCTGGAACTTATTTTGCTATAGGAGTAAGATAGCGACCTGGCTTTGTGATCACCTATGGTATCATACAAAATATCATTGGTCTTTGTTTCTGGTTCCTGGAACAAAGCTTCTCAAACCCTTGGAATTTCCTGAGTGACAGCAGTATCCTTCCTAGAAAGCCCACTATGGGTTTAGGCTAATGACCATGATTTAGTGTGGGGTCCCTAGAAAGGCTCAGGGTGGGACTGGACACCAGAAAATCCAAGGAAATTGAGGGCTGGAACTTTCAGCCCCACCCATCAACCTCTGTGAAAGGGTGTGGGTGGGGGAAACTGTAGATTAAGCTCTGTAATGCTCAAACAATGGCGATTTGATGAGCTTCCAGGTTAGTGGAGCACCCACTTGCAGGGAAGGTGGAGCACCCCAGTTCCACAGGGACAGATGCTCCCATGCTAGTGACCCTTCTGAACCTCGTTCTACGTATCTCTTTATTGGGCTGTTCTTCTGCATCCTTTATAATAAACTGGTAGATACTAGGGACTGTTTCTCTGAGTTCTGTGAGCTGCTCTAGCAAATTAATAGAACCCAAGGATGGGGTTGTGGAAACCTCCAATTTATAGCCAGGTGGTCAGAAGCAGAAGTAGCAACCTTGACTTGCATTTGGTGTCTGCAGTGTGGCAGTCTTGTGGGACTAGCCCTTAACCTGTGCGTTCTAATGCTATCTCCATATAGACAGTGTCAGAATGGGGTTAAATTTGTAGGACACCCAGTCTGGGTCCACCAAGAAATGGAGGAAAAAAAAACCATCAGACTACCTCACGGTCCCAACATCATTTATGCACTTATTCCTTTCTTCACTGGTATAAAATGCACTTTTTAAAAAAAGTTTTATTTATCTCTCTACACCCCACGGGGGCCAAACACACAGCCTCGAGATCAAAAGTTGCATGCTCTTCCGACTGAGCTAGCCAGGTGCCTACAAAATCCACTTTTAACACAGGCATAGTCTTTCGAGCTGCCCCCATTGACCTGTCCTACTCATGTCTAGGACTAAACTGCCTTTAGTTCTGCTCTTCCTACCATTACTCTTGTATTTCAGAATTTTCGGCTATTCTTGCTTACGTATTCCTCATAAGAATTTTGGCATTGCTTCCTAATGATCCCCGAAATAAAGTTGATGTTTTCCCTGGACTCACCTTAAATGAATCATTAATTAGGGAGAATAGACAACATTTAATACTAAGTGCCCTTATCCAAGAACAGGGTGTGCTTCTCACTTGTTCGATTTTTCCGCTGCTCCATTTTGAAATGTCCAGTCAGGCAGCGCCTGGTGCTCTTGGGAACAACCATAGCCTGAGTGCGCCCCCTTGCTCAGTGGGGGCAGGTCGCACAGCTCCTCAAGATCAGGGGGTCTGCTTGGTTGGACAACCGCAAGGCTGAGGGAAGGGCAGCTTGCCATTTGCCCCTCTTCCCGGAGCCTGTCCTGGCAGCCACCTCTTCTCTGTTGCAGAGACTTGCAACATTTGTGGTTTAATCACACCTCATCTCCACAGAAGCATCTGGAGATAAAACCTGATAACTTCCTTGGGAATGGGGTCAAGCCTTCTCTTCCCTGACCGTCGATACCTAGGACTCATCGCAGGGGAGCCAGGAGACCATTTGGCTTGGGCCACCTAGTCACAAAAGGCCTCAAATTTACACTTCTCACCCCATCATCATTTGAGGTGAATCACACTGAGGCAACTGGAAGAACATATTCATTAAAAACTCAAATGTGAGGGACGCCTGGGTGGCTCAGTCGGTTAAGCGTCTGCCTTCAGCTCAGGTCATGATCCCAGGGTACTGGGATCGAGTCCCGCATCGGGCTCCTTGTTCCGCGGGGAGCCTGCTTCTCCCTCTGCCTCTGCCTCTCTCTCTATCTCTCATGAATAAATAAATAAAATCTTTAAAAAAAAAAAAAAACCTCAAATGTGAGTCCCATTACCAGACCTCATGCCAGCAAGGCACTAGAAATTTAATATAAATCATGTACCTGATTTGTGAATAGCAGAGCTATATTGTAGGACATTGCCACATATAAAGGAATGCTAAAAAAAATTAAGCCTACATATTTTGAGTAACACATAGGTATCACTCAAATCATAACTGGTGTAATGCTTTGTGTTTTATCAAAACCTTTAAAGTCATATCACGTTACCACCCAAATTCTGAATCTTATGATAGAAATACTTCAAGTACAGTGCTTTTTGTATCCAGAGAAATAAAACAATATTATCTTACGTTTTAGTGTTAAAATAAAAATTAAACATATACCACAGTTTCTGCAATTCCGTTTGGGCATAACTTCATTGTTTTCAGATGTTGGCAGCCTCTAAAATGGCAAGTGTCCCAGGGCTCCCTTGAGGACAGCAAGGCCTGTCAGCGCAGCATCTCACCTCAGGGACCCCCGGCTTAGGGAAATCAGGGGTTAAGCCCTGTCTTACTCACATAACGATTTCCTTTCGTGTCTGCTCCAGCATCATGTACTGCGTCCACTCCTGTTGGGTTTCATAAGTCTTAGACTGATCCACGATCTTTTGGAACATTGTCCTCTTCCTGCAAAACACACCAGTTCGTTAAAGGAGCTCGTCTTAGAATAAGGCAAACCCCAGGGCTTCTAACATTGGCTGTTTCAGACAGAGGCTTCTGAAAACAACATAATTAACAAAACAAGGTGGAAAGAACCAAGGCCCAGGAGTGAAGACCTAGGTTCTCACCTAAACTCTGTCACCAATGTATTACCTGGATCTTACTTAGCCAATTTTCCCCCTGGATTTCAGCGTCTCATGGATACAATGGGAGTGAGAATATCTAACTCCCAGGATTGCAGTGAGAGTTACTGTTTCATAACACAAGAGCTGTGCCTGGCACACAGAACATATTAAATCAATTGGATCTATGGTGTTTATTATTATAGTCATTGTTATTGTTATTCTTGTTCTTAAAATGAAAAGAAATACCAACTTGAAATACAGGGCGAGGTCTGTGGCAATGATTGCTATATCCATCATGTGGATTGCATGCTCATGCTGTCTGCGATTGAGATTTTGGAAGATATTCAGGCTCTGAAGAGAAAACCGTAGAAGAGATGTGAGAAGTGATGCTGGCAGGATAGTCACGCAACTACCGATGGTGACCCCCTATGGTGGGAGAGGCAGCCCAGGCCGATGGGAAGAGTGCCGCCCGGCCACACTCAGGCTTCTTGTGAGATGGGGGCTCCCAGCAGGCAATGCAGAGGGCCCTCCACCCGTCCTACCTCATCTCTCAGCAATGTTTTGCCGAACTCCAAGTGGTGTCTTTCCAAGATGGAGGACCCATGGAGCTTGGCCAGTGGGTTCTGGGATCTGAATGGGAGACACACACAACACAATCAGTATGGAATGGCCAAGAGAAAGGTTAAAGACGTCATCCAGTCCTGCCCCCTCCTAATTCTGCAGGCAGAGAGGCTGACGGCCAGCACTGAGAAGGAGCTTGTCACACGGTGAGATAGTGGGAAAGAAGACTAGACATCAGGTCTCCTGAATCTCAGGCTTTAGCTTTCTCCACAGCTGATTCCGAGCCTCTCTGGGCTCATGGACTCCTTAGAGAGGCCGTTGAATAGCGTGTGCCCCAAAGGCACACACACATACAACGCCACAGGCAATTTTAGAGATTTCTGGGCTCCCTGTACTCATTCATGGACGTTGGCCCTGGGCCATACTTTAAGGATCACATGGCCTTGATGAAATACTTGAGTCTCAGGAGAAGCTACGAATTCCCACAAGTGGTGTGTTTATTCATGTCTTTATTCAATATATATTTGTTGAGCACTTACTGTGTGCCATGCACTGAGCTCAATATTTAGCTTCCCATAAGGTAAAGTGTAAACACGACCTCTAGCCTCAGAGCAGCATGTTCTAGGGCTTGTTTATGACTTACAGGCTGTGGGCCCTGGGCAGAGCCTCAGTTTCCTCCTCCATAATATGAGTATAACACTAGTCCCTGATCTACCCAGCCTACAAGGTGGTTATGAAGGTCCGCCAAGACCATGGTGCAAGGACCATGTTTCAGAGGCTGTCTGGAATGTAAGCTGTGTGAGGACAGGGACTGTGTCTGCTACCATGGTACCTCCTTTGTCTAGCACAGGACCTACCACACTTATATTAGGAGCATTACAAATACAAGGTGAATGAGTGAGCCAGTGTCAGTTACTAACATTTGGCTTAAATTCATTCAGCAGGTAGGAAGGCAGAGAGCTAGGGAGTTTCATAAATTGCTGTGATAGCAAATTACCACAAACTTAATAGCTTAAAACAGTAAAGATTTATTATCTTATAGCTCTGGAGTTCAGAGTCTAAAATGGGTCCACAGAGCTGCTTTCCTTCTGGAGGCTCTAGGGGATAATCTGTTCCCTTGCCTCCTAGCTTCTAGAGGCCACCTATCTTCCTTGGCTTGTAGCCCATCCTTCATCTTCAGAGCCAACAGTGCGGTATCCTTTCTCCTCTCTAACCTCTTGCCTCCCTCTTAGAAGGACACTTCTAACTACATGGGGCCCACTTGGATAACCCAGGATAATCCCTATATTTCAAGATCTTTAATCACATCTTTGAAGTCCCTTTTGAATATAAGGCAACATATTCCCAGGTTCCAGGCATGGTGCCATGGACATATTTGGGGGTCATTATTCTGTCTGTCACTGGAGTTTACCCAGACCCACAGGGCAGGAGGAAGTAAGAAGGTGTGGACCGTGGGACTTTCCCTTGGCCAGTGAATCTGCCTGAGAGCCTTTCAGATCTGGGTAATGAATCCTGGGAGCGGGAGGCAGAGAAGGGGGACAGTGAGGGCCGACTCACTTCATCTGGTAGAGGTTGTTGGTGCCTCTGTGGTCAATGTCATGGCAGAAGGCAGCGGTGACCATGGCCAAGGCCTCCAGGTCCGTGAAGTATCGCTTCAGCTTTCCAGTCTGGAAGAGCAATCAGAGGTGCCACTCATTCCTTCCTTACAGGGGTTGGAAGCAGAGCAGATGTGAGGGGGAGGCCTGGAGCTTGGGAACACAGGGCTGACCTTGGCTCTGTCCCTGGCACAATAGTTTGACCAGATGTTTGTCTGGGACTGGGGGTTTTTTCAAGGATATGGGACTTGCCATACCAGAAGTGGAACAGTCCCAGGCAAACGGGGATGGTTGGTCACCCTAGTTCTGAGCGATCTTAACTGGTCCAGTCTCCCTCTGGGCCTCAGTATCCCAATCTGCCTACTGGAGGTAGGGTGCACTGGACTAGACAGATGGTTGAGAAATTGCAGCTGTCAGGTTTTAGGATCTGGAGGGCTTTTGAACATGTCCAGATTGGCAAAACAGACCCTCCACTGGTTTAAGCACAGCCCAGAAGAATCTTTCCCTGAGCCTCCTTCAAATACTTCTAGTTTATGCTGGGTGTTGGAGAACGGGTTGGGGAAGAGCTCTGGAGAGGTGATGCTGACTCTGTGACTCTAAGAAATAAATCAAGTCTCAGCGGTGTCACTGTCATCTTCTGTGGTGGCCTGGCCAGAATTCCTGCCTTGAGGCCCTAGTGCCTATCCCGCCCCACCATTCCAGCCATGAGGGAAGACCTGAGGAGGAGGGGGGCTGGACAAGGCCAGAGACTTGCATCATAATCTGGATGGGAAACATTTTACATGAAATATGAATCTCTGAACTCTCTGAGCCGAAAAGACTGACACAAATACACATAGGTATATCCATCCAAGGACACCGTGGCAGTGTTTGTAACAGCGAAAGGTCGACAACGAGCCCTGTGTCTAACAGTAGGGGGCTTGGCAAAGATATCCTGGTGTATTCGAACAATGCAGAATACTATGCGGCCATAACATGATATCATGGATAAGCCTCGAAAGCATCATGCTGAGTGAAAGAAGTCAGACGCAGAAGGGCTGATACTGTCCAAGGTACTTAGGGTACATGCGGTACTTAGGGTAGTCAAATTCATAGAGACAGAAAGGGGAAAGTGGTCACCAGGGCTGGACAGAGGGAAAAGGGGAACTGTTGTTTGATGGGGACAGAGTTTCTATTGGGGAAGATGAAAAAGTTCTAGGGGCGGATAGCCGTGATGGTGGCACAACATGGTGAACAACGTACTTAATACCCCTGACTGAACCATACACCTGAAAACGGTTAAAACAGGGAGTCTTCTGTGATGTGTATTTAACCACAATAAAAAATTAAATATATGGAGAATGTGATTGGTATAGTTTTTCAAAAGAAACATGTTCTAGGATATAACTATTCAGTTGGATATAAACAAACAGACACTCTGTGTGTCTGCGTGTGTAAAAATAGGTCTCGATGCTTCTAGAAGAGGATTTGTGAGGAGCTCTGCCATGGTTATCTCTAAATAACCGCACTGGCGTTGCGGGCAGCCTGCCCTTTCCTTCACTTTTTATTTTATACAACCCTCTCTGCTCGGAAGTCACGTAGGCTAAGCGTGTGCTCCTCTCGCGCCATTTTTTTTTTTAAAGCACCGAAGCCAGAGCAAAGCGGCTACTTCCGGGCGCTGGTGGGAGGTCATCCGGTGGGGCCGGAAGCGCCCGCCGCCGCCCGCCGCCGTCCCCCGCCGTCACCCGCCGTACCACCAGCAAGGAGAACATGGTCTGTCCCACGTTGAAGCCGTGCCGCCAGTTGTGGTAGGTGATCCTGCGGTAGCCCTTGCTCAGTGAGTACATGAACCGCACCAGGGCCTGCGAACACGGGCGCAGGAGTGAGGCCTGGGAGGCCCTGCCCCCCCGCCCCCCGACCCGGGGCCGAGCGGGCGAGCAACAGCTGCGGGAACGCTGGCAGAGTACTTTGCAAACGGCTAAATACGAGCAAAATGGACGTTGTTGGGAAACCAGGTGCGTGTGAGACCCTCCACTAACCCCGCTAATGGAGCGTCATCGGTGTTTCCCAAACTGGGTCCCGGAGAGCTACCGGGGAGGAAAACAAAAGGGGTCTTTAAGTCAGTGGTTCTCCAACGTGAGTGCCCATCAGAATCACCCGGAGGGCTTGTTAAAACACACACTTTCTGATTCATTAGAGCTAGGAGAATGCATGTGTGTGTGTGTGTATGTGTGCGCACGCGTGCACAACGGAGACTTTGTGCTTCTGATACATTCTCAGGTAGTGCTGTTGTGGTTTGGGGCAGCACTTGGAGAACCGCTGCTTGAATCAAACAAGTCTGGGAGATTCTGAGCTTAACCCCCACCCCCACCCCAGCCCCCCCTTCCCCGTCGTCCGTCCCCAGGCCCCTAGATTCACAGTAGGCTGTAAGGAATCCTGCAGGGGAAAAGTCCTGTCTAAACTGACCCACAATTCCCACCCTTGTTTCACTATTAGTTCCCATTCATGCCTTGGGAACTCAGTGCCTCACAAGCCACCTTGAGAATCCAGCGCGCCCAGAACACCACAGTTCAGAGGAACTGGGTGTCTCTTTACTGATAAATGACTCACCTGTGCAACATGACTAATGCTTTATAGCCTCAAAGCTGAGGGTGCACTGTTTACAGATTTAGTTAAAAAGAAAAAAAAAAGCAAGCAAGAAGAAAAAAGGAATCGGAAGAGGTTTATTTTGACCTTACCTCCTGAGGAATGTGAAATTTGTCCACCACTTTGAGCTCATAGTACATCTGTATCCCACATTTCACCAGCTCCAGTTCCGTGAGGGGCAAGTCGCTGAAGTGGAACTTATTGATCTCGAACTTCTCTGCATCTGGCAGCTCTCCTTGCTGTATAAGGAGGGGCGTCCAGGGGTTGGGGCACCTGAAGGTTCGTGGGCCCCTCCCCCGGCAGCCCCCAGCCCTGGCCCCATCCCAGGTCTGCCAGGAGGATCAGAGCAGGGTGGGTAAGGGGCGTGCTTTGCGAGGCAGCCCCCTGCCCTGCGCATGCTCAGGGCGCAGCCTGCGAGGTTCTGCCCTGCTCACCAGGATCTCAGCGAGTTCCTCTTCCTCGCATTCCCAAGGCTCCTTCCCGTACACCTCTCTGGTTTTCTGCCAGTGTCCAAAATAGCAGAGAGAGAGAAAAAAAATCGGTTACTACATCTGAGGTCTGAATATGGCTCCACTTTTCCATTTCCATTCTCCTCCTTCCTCCAAAGTGCTTGCAGCGGGGGCCACCAACTCAGAGAGGCTGCCCTTCACCATTCATTGATGGGCAAAATCAAAGTCCTGGGCTTCCGGCCGTGGGGACCTGCCTGCAAGTTCAGCTTTGCCACTTACTAGCAGAGCTGCTTAACACCTTCGATCCTCCATTTTCTCACCTGTAAAATGGGGATAATAAAAGTACTTAACTGGTGAATTAAGATTAGATTTATGCCAAGTTATTTTGAAAAAACATTTATACAGCTAGATGAAATAATGCACATAAGTCCCTCAGTGCAGTTCTTGGCACATAGCAAACACTAGAATTAAATAATGTTGCTGATATTCTTATTGTTTCTATTACTGACTGGAGTCAGAAGGTCTTGCTCATGGTCCTGGCTCTTCCTCTCACTTACTGTGTGACTTGGGGCAAGTTTCTTCCTTCCCCGGGCCTATTGTACCATGCATGTGCCAGAGGAGGGGGGACCTGGACCCAGTTTCTTGCTTCTGATTTTTTTTT